TGCTTTTTGGTACTTTGGTCTGAAATGTATATAAAAGAGAAACATTTATGTTCAAGTAGGAAACATGCTTTTTGGTACTTTGGTCTGAAATGTATATAAAAGAGAAACATTTATGTTCAAGTAGGAAACATGCTTTTTGGTACTTCTTTTGGTCTGAAATGTAAATAAAGATCATCAAAATTTATATTCAAGTAGTCAAAATGGCTTTTGGTACTGCTTTATATTTATTTGCCCCCCTCAATAAAATTAAAAAAATGCGCCCCCCCAAAAATAAATATCACCAGCCGCCACTGGTTCAAAGTAAGAGCGTTCAAGACGGCCGCAGAAGCGCATCTGAGAGCGCGCGATGCGGTGACCGCCTTTGTTTGACGGTCAGCCAAAAGTCACCGCTGCTGCCGCTGCTAATGATCGAAATTAGAGAGTTCGATCGGATCATTGGGGTTTATTAGTAATAAATCGGCATTTTGCGACCCCCACTGCCACTGTGTAGCATATGATTACGTGCCAGGAACTCTATGAGATGATAGGACAATAGTCTGAGTCCATAATTGGCAATATGTAACGGCAAAGCAGTTTTAGTGACTCATATAATTGTGCGCAGTTGCATATACAGTACATGACTTCCCTGAAGGCATTCATCTTCAGCGAGCGCGATGCCGATCACACGACGCGGTTCGAATTCGACCCTCGACCGATGGCTGCGCCATCGCCGCACACGCGTCGGATAAAAAGCAAGGGACAAGTCCTTACTTACTAACAACTCCTCTATCATTTCTCATTGCTGGAGGGGTTGCCCCCCTACCTGAAAATCCTGCCATTGACTGCGAGGATGATAGATTGTCACGGCTCTGACTCGACACATTTTCACTTTCCGTCTCTCGCCGCTCGCAAAGTATTCCTCTGCCATCAAATTGTTAACTGCTGGCATTGTGCACTGTTTTCATTTTGTGTGTGTTTTTTTTACTCCAGACTTATTGTTCAGTCCCCCCCCCCCCCTTGCCAATGTAATCACAATTTGTGGTCCCGAGGTCATGCCACTGAATGAAGAGATGACCTTGAGGGATGAACGTGCAGGGGTGGGGGGCGGACTATTTTTTTTCGTGCTCGTACAAAAAACTAAGTTTAGGCGGTTCTCACATTCGTTCATAAAGCCCACGACCCAAAGGGGGACGGGGTAATTCCACGTTCCTGTGGCGTGGTGGTGGGTGGGTGGCGGGTGTGGGGGGAGAGACCAGAATTTCGATCTCGGAAATTTGAAACGGAACGCGGCTGTTGGAACGACACGCTCCGAATCAAATTTTTTTTATTGATTAGCAGTTTTAATAATGCGTTTTGTTGCGATACATTTTAGAGCAGTTTGTCTATGAAATTACAGGGTGCTTCAAAAACGTTTTGATCACTTCTGAGAATTTTCAACAATATCACAAGAAATATGCCTCCTTCGGGCTCTGGAGACCACCTGGAGAAGATCCCAGGCCACGCGTTCTCAACGATGGCGAACAAGTGCGAGACTCTTGGACTTTTTGTAGCTATCAACATTACATTTGTGATCATGTCACAGTGAATTATCCGTTCTTTTTCCATTGAGAACGATCGTGCCATATAAGTGTCAAACACATTCCTGCGGAGGGAGCTGGTAGGAACGTTGGGTTGCTCGGTCAATGGCCAGGGTCAACAGCGGCGTGGTGTATTCCGCAAATATGCCCGACTGTGAGGGCGGGCACAAGCCGGCGTGAGTAGGTTAAACGTTGAGTTTTATAAGGGCACCACTGGGTGACCAGCCCCACCCCTCCCACCCCCCACCTAGCCCCACCCTCCCCACCCAGCCCTTCCCCACCCTCCCCACCCAGCCCCTCCCTGCACGACGGACGGACGGACACAATAATCCCCTGTGGGCTGGTGTAACCAGGAGGTTCCTAACAGATGCATTGTTGGCTGTTGCTAATGTACAATGGCATGGATTTTACTCTGTTCTCAGATAACTTTTGCACCGTAAACTTTTACTATTTTATATATTTTTCCCTCCCAATCACGGGATATATATAAAACATCCCAATGTCAACCAATTAATGTGTATTTCCAATCTTGCTCTGCGATTTCACGAGGCGAAGGAATTTCAATTCAAACTTCTCGAAACGAGCAGGGGTAGTGATAGGGGGTAGTGACAGGGGTAGTGACAGGGGTAGTGACAGGGGTAGTGATAGGGGTAGTGACAGGGGTAGTGACAGGGGTAGTGACAGGGGTAGTGATAGGGGGTAGTGACAGGGGTAGTGACAGGGGTAGTGATAGAGGTAAGTGATAGGGTTTGGACAAGGATAGTTTAAATAAGAAAGTGAAGACTGTCTGACTTATGCCTCAGAGCTGCCAATGGAGGACAGAATACAATTTGTATTTGGGAAAAACTCGCGCAGATTCAATATCTCTTGCAGCGGTAAGATTATTTATATTTTTATTTTTTTGGGGTGGGGCTGCTATAAATTTCCACGCGATAAGCCAACCACTTTGCTGAGCTATCATTTGTGATAGCCAAGTCGCTTCGTAAAGAGAAGCTCACCGAGCTCAGTGGGCGTTTTAGGACCGTCCATAAATGACGTCACGCGATTTTGGACGATTGATGACCCCCCCCCCCTTCGTCACACAAAAGTCAGACCCCCCCGCCTCAAATATGACGTCACAAAGCTCTGCCCCCCCCCCACCACCCAAAAAAAAACATGCTTCAAATCGCTTTAAACTGTTGTCATTGTAGTGCGTATTTAATATGGCGCTGCACTCTGTTGTTGTAGGAGAAAACATTTATTAAAAAGTCTATTTAATTAAGTAGAACGTGTTGTCTATATTTATTTAAAGTTGCGCATTTTGATTTGACGTCACATTTCTCAACCACCCCCCCCCCCCTCGTCACACATCGTCACAAATGTCTGACCCCCCCCCCCCCCCCCCTAGGTGCGTGACATCATTTATGGACGGCCCCTTACCTAGTAAAGTAAAATTAGATTTTTTTTATTTAAAGCTTTCGTGACTGCAGGGATTCACATTCTTGGTTCTTTTGGTAAAGTCACGTAGAAGGTAAACAATACAATAATAAAAATATAAAACAATAAAATGTTCACGACGTTTCGACTGCAACACAAGCAATCATCATCAGGTGTGAAATTCACAGCAAGACATTTTGAAAAAAGTGGCGGTTTTTTCTTAACGTCAGCACCACGGACAGCGATTTGGCAGTTGTTCAGAGTCCATCTATGTTCGGAAAAGAGGAGGGGGGAGAGGAAGGGAATGGAATGCGGTCTGAAAGTCACCGTAAGCGTGACCACAATCAATTAAGACCCGAAATGGTTTATCAAATCCTTCCAATGATTGCTAAGCCAGAATCCATTTTCTCGGTTAAAATTGTCTCTGTGTTTGTATATGTGAATAGCCTCATGAACGAATCTCTCATGGTAGCCAGATGGCTTGCAGAGAACCTCTGTCTTGGAGAAGTCAATATCATGTGAGCACACTGAATTATAACAGTGATCTGCCACGGCCGAGGTGTTGGTCCTACCGTGTTTTTAAATCCTTTATATTAAGTTCGCTTGCTTGCTTGCTTGCATGCTTACGACCGTGCAAATCTTTTGGTCGTTTTTTAACCCACTTCCCGTGATCCAATCGAGCTGACATTTTGCACACTGACTCGTTGTGCGTGACAATTTATTTTCGTGAAAATTTTTTCCAAAAATTGTACACTTTTTAGGAAAAAATAAATTATATTTAATTACCAATTGCTTAATGGTGGCAGGCAATCATCTGACCCATAGGTGGCAGCCATCTCAAGCCAGAGGACGAGAGGACTCTAGCCGCCACGCATATAAAGGATTTATAGTGAAAAACTTTGTTTTTACGGGTTAATTTGTTTTTTAAATCCTTTATATTAAGTTCGCTTGCTTGCTTAGGACCGTGCAAATCTTTCGGTCGTTTTTTAACCCACTTCTCGTGATCCAGTCGAGCTGACATTTTGCACACAGACTCGTTGTGCGTGACAATTTATTTTCTTGAAAATTTTTTTCCAAAATTTTCCACTTTTTAGGAAAAAAAAAATCATATTTAATTTAAAATACCAATGCGATAAAAATGAAACTCTTACTCAAGAAAAACAGAAATGAATAATAAAATAAAACCGATGCCACGCATATAAAGGATTTATAGTGAAAATTTTTGTTTTTACGGGTTAATTTTTTTAAATTTTATTGTTTCCCTTCTACGTGACTTTACCGAAAGAACCAAGAATATAAAAAGTTTATTATACTTTTCACTCTCGTGGTTTGTTGTTGTTGTATTCCTTGTTGTAACGTTCTGACCCATTGCCCCTACTGGACATCTGTGGAGGGGGGGGGGAGAGCTTTATAGCTCTTTGGATTTCTCCAGTAAAAAAATTAAATGTATATTCAGATTCCATATTCACATGGCCTCTCTCGCCAACCACTAGAGGCCGCTAGTGGCTATTCTAACGCCTGCCTCGCCGTGTTACCAGCCATCTATTTAATAATGCGTCACCAAATTGTGTTATTTTTTTGCGTGGGTAATAATTAAAATTATGTTAAAGTACAGCAGCTGTACCTGATTGTGTGACTTTGATGTTATCGAGGTCGTGTTTACAATTAGTTCATCATATGTATGGGTTGTTGGGTTTTTTTTGGAGGGTGGGAGGGTGGGAAGCATTTCCAACACATAATTTCAATATTAATCAGTAGACGACTGAAATAATAACAATAATAATTAGCAGTTTGACGACAACATTAATTAACGGCGTCTTTTTTTTTATTTACAAAAATGCGCAACATTTCAATTACATTTCTCAGACAACACAAGCATAGGCTGCACTTTGGCCGATTCTGATTGGTCGACCCTCTTAGCAACGGGCGCGCACGCGGAGCCGCGTGATCGACGGCGACCAATCGGCTGCCTCGCACAGGCGCGGGGTCGCCCATGCGTGTGGGAAATGTAAACGGGGGGGGGGGAGAGCTACACTTCGGCCTATACTACGTCTAAGCAGCTACGCACTTAAAAAAATTTTTTAATTAAACGGCAATTTTTTTCTCGGACCACTTTCTACGAATTAATGTAGAACAAAGTGGGCCCTTTGCACATTTGTACTCTTGATATTTTTAAAATATTTTTTTTCATTTCACAAGGTATGCCTCAAACGCCTCTGCGTGTCGCTGTCATTTGCTCGAGCAATCAAAACCGAAGCATGGAAGCGCATAGCTTGCTCAGGTAATCGATAATGTATTCATCGATTATTGATGACAACGGCATGATCGTTCGATTAATTTCGTGACGCGTCTTAAACCCGATACAACTCTAGTTTGGATTGTGTGTGTGTGTTTTATTATGATGTGAGATGACTTATGAACTGACGGTAATCGATACGCGAGTTAATCGATCATTAATCAATTGCTTGATGCGCCCAACTTGCAACCGGGTTGAAACTCCGTTGTGCCGTGTGTTTTTTTCTAATGAGGGAGAGGCGTTGGTAACTTGCTAACTCATAGCCGCTCGTTTGATGATAAGAGAGTAATCGATTACAGCGTATACTATCGATTTATTGAAAGATGCACCTTAAACCAGGTGAGACTTCGTTGTGATCCATTCTGTGTGATGTTTCTCAAGAGCGAGATGCCTATGACGTGTAAACTCACAGTCACTTGGTAATCGATCAATCGATTAATCTAGTAAATGGTTAATATCCTTTAATCTCGTCATTTAGCGAGTGAGTCGTGGGGCCTTTTAACTTATAAAGGACAAAGAGTGACACTATTCAAGGTGATGCTTAATCGTTTGTGAATCTTTTTTTTATATCGAAGTCCTTTATTTACCTCGGGGGTTGTTATTTGTGATTCTTTATCGTCATTTGATAAGGGAACCATACAAGTAACCCCGTAGTTGGAAATCAGCAGTCATTTTACGAATAATTCGCAGTTCATATGACGATTAATCGATTAATTAGTCGATCTTAAAAGAGGTAATTTCCCAAAATGTGATTTTTTTATTTTCAAGTAACTTGCGTTTATTGGATATCATTCATAAACTGGCTGAAAACATCTTAATATAAAGAGGACCGGAAAACTTGGGCAATCGTTGGTATCTCCGGCTCGCCGCCTGGCAGCTGACCTGCCCCGCTCCTCTGCGGAGTCTCAGCAGCCGTGAGATGCAATGTGCATGAAGGGCGCTATGCAACAATTGAACATTCCATATTAATACTGGTAGGAACCTCCTGGTTACACCAGCCCACAGAGGATTATTGTGTCCGTCCGTCTGTCGTGCAGGGAGGGGCTGGGTGGGGAGGGAGGGGCTGGGTGGGGAGGGAGGGGCTGGGTGGGGAGGGTGGGGCTGGGTGGGGAGGGGCTGGGTGGGGAGGGTGGGGCTGGGAGGGGAGGGTAGGGAGGGGCTGGGTGGGGAGGGTGGGGAGGGGCTGGGTGGGGAGGGTGGGGCTGGGAGGGGAGGGTAGGGAGGGGCTGGGTGGGGAGGGTGGGGTGGGGAGGGTGGGGAGGGGCTGGGTGGGGAGGGTGGGGCTGGGTGGGGAAGGTGGGTAGGGTGGGGCTGGGTGGGGAGGGTGGGGCTAGGTGGGGTGTGGGAGGGGTGGGCTGGGTGGGGGGAGGGGCTGGTCACCCCGTGGTGCCCTTATAAAACTCAACGTTTAACCTACTCACGCCGGCTTGTGCCCGCCCTCACAGTCGGGCATATTTGCGGAATACACCACGCCGCCGTTGACCCTGCAGGCCATTGACCGAGCAACCCAACGTTCCTACCAGCTCCCTCCGCAGGAATGTGTTATTACTACCACTTTGTACGGTGTCATTTTTCGTATCCACCTGCACACCAGCCAATCTAATTTCTGAAGTAGATATCCTCCTGTGGATCTTTTGTTTTGCCTTGGCCACCACTTAGTTGTTATTCCCATCCGCCTTGCCATCAGAATGTCTTCTCGTGACATATCCCGTCAAACGCTGTCTTTCACAGTCAACAATACGCCTTTAACCAGTTCACGCTGTGTGTATGTTGAACTTCTTTCGCACCGTACGTAGCCAACCACGCTAATCGGAGGTGCGGGTGAATGACAACCAACTCATCCACGTTCATATTCTTAGGTTTTTTTTTTCGGTAAAGTCACGTAGATAAAACATTAAAATTCATAAAAGTAAAATAAAAATCACGACGTTTCGGAGGCAACACAAGCTTCCGTCTTCAGGTGGAACCGTCACAGCCACGACAGCTGTATCAAGTAAATGAGAGATTACAAGAGCTATCACTCCGTTTATATAATGGTTGGAGAGGGGAAGGGCCAAGTACGGCACACTTTTTATTAATATGGTAAGGTGAGGCTTAAGAGGCTGAGCCTTTGGTATGGAGAGGTACGGTTTTATGACTAAGCCTGGCCTACATAACAATAGTGTGTGTTTTACCTACGTGACTTTACCGAAAAAAAACCTAGGAATATGAATCCTTGCAGTCACGAAAGGTTCAAATCTAGAATCATCCACGTTCATCTTTGCTGCTTCCATTGCAATCCTACGCACGCACCTATCCCATGCTTTGCACACATTTCAGCTTTTGTTCCACCCTCTTGTCCAATCAGTGTCCCGTGTTTCTGATCCGTATGTCATCGCAGGTGATAACGCACTGAATAAAAACTCTCCTCTTCGGACGCATCGGCGGGTTGCAATTAGTTCAACTTTCCAAAAGTGCTCCAACCTGCTCTCATCCATATTTGTTTTTATTTCGTCATTTTGATGTCGGTATGCGTCCAATAACTGCCCTCGGTACACCACCTCGCTGTGTTTTCATTCCATTTGTGTCCTCACCGACAAGAGATCTCTGTTTGTTTGGCGAACTTTGTTGTCCGTGATATTCGTTTAGCAAATATGTACACGTAACGTTCTAATAATACAATTATAATGCACGGACTTGTATCAATCCACTCCTCGGTGAGGGACACCCAGACGCCGTGGGGAGTCGTAGATGTTGATTGACCATACTTCACCGCAGTGTTCAATGCGGGTGGGTGAAGGGGAGCGACAAAAACACGAGGCAGGAAGATGTTAGATAACACTGGTCAACACACTTTTTCTGGCATAAGGTATTCTAACGGTTGTAAGGTAAATTTAGGGGTGCTGATTCCAAATCTGGTATTAGTTTTTTGTCTATCACATCAGGTTTTTGAGATATTAAATATTGCATTTTCAATAAAAACTGCAGAAGAAAAATATTAAATAAATGTGGATATCTACATAAAATGATATTATAAACACACTATCCTAAAAATACAGCACCATATTTTAACACTAAAGCAGTCACTGACTCACAACAACTTGCAATCATAAGTGACAGAGTTAATTTCGGGTAAAATCAATGAAAATGGGGTATGCCGATAGCATAAAATGAGATGTGATAGATCAAATCTGAGATCAGATTTGGAATCAGCACCCTGAAATTAGTCTAAAACAGCTGCAAAAGTCCAGGCCAGAAAAAAATGTTTTTTTTTGTTGACCTGTGTATAATCTGAAGGAAGGACAATATAAGCACACGAGAAGAGAGAACGGATATTGAATAGGAGAGTGAAGACCGCTTGACGTATGCCTCAGACCTGTCAATGTCGACAGAACACAAATTGGATTTGGAAAACTCAGGAGGATTCAATACCTCTGGCATTGGTAACTGTTCTTGCCAGGGGACAATAGTAAGCACTGGATTTTCGGCATTCGATCATTTGCTGTTTTATTTTAACTAAATAAGTGTCCATTGACATTCATTTCCGTTCAAAATGGCAGGCTTGATTACCTGCTCTTAAGAGACAAAAGTTACCCATGATTATACTGGTAGGAACCTCCTGGTTACACCAGCCCACAGGGGATTATTGTGTCCGTCCATCCGTCGTGCAGACAGGGGCTGGGTGGGGAGGGGAGGGGCTGGGTGGGGAGGGTGGGGAAGGGCTGGGTGGGGAGGGGCTGGGTGGGGAGGGGCTGGGTGGGGAGGGTGGGGAGGGGATGGGTGGGGAGGGGCTGGGTGGGGAGGGTGGGGCTGTGTGCGGGGTGGGAGGGGTGGGGCTGGGTGGTTGAGGGGCTGGTCACCCAGTGGTGCCCTTATAAAACTCAATGTTTAACCTACTCACGCCGGCTTGTGCCCGCCCTCACAGTCGGGCATATTTGCGGAATACACCACGCCGCCGTTGACCCTGGCCATTGACCGAGCAACCCAACGTTCCTGCCAGCTCCCTCCGCAGGAATGTGTTTAATCTACCAGTGGATTTTTTATCCTTCATTTTACCACGTGAGAGTCCCATTGTGGGTCTTTGTTTTTGTCGAAGTTGTATTTCTAGAAGGGAGACGTGAATATTGTATTAACATTGGAAACGTTGCGATAAGCATTGTTTAACATGGTTTAGCCGTGCACTTGGATATGATACTGCAACGGATTGCCAAGTGTATAGGCTTCAAATATGAAGTGACGAGGGGATGCAAGAACAGCAATGGATTTTTTCCCGTGTGTCTGTGCAGAGCGTTGAATGTTAAACCCTCGTATTGTGTGGGCTCAAGCCAGATACTACCAGTTTCCTCCCATATTGAAATTGCACGAAAAAATCACTCATTTATAATGAAAAATGAGACGTTATTTTTATTCTAACCTAATGATAACAGCCGAACAAATATGCTTGTAACTTAGGACAGCAATTTGTTTAATCTCAAATCGCAGTTTCCTAAACGATTGTTCCTAATGTGAGAACTGTGATGATTATCCACGACGAAATTGACCAATAATTCTGGATGGTGCGATAAACTTAAAGAGAGAGGCTTTTTTAATATATATATCGGTAACCCTGCCGCAATCTATTCGGTCTCCTTTCACGAGCGGAGGAGCCACCCGAGCATTACCTTTTTTTTTGCGCCACAATTAAACGCTCGTTCATCAGAGATGATTAGTCCGATAGAGTTGCAGCGCTGTTGACAGGAGGTGGACTGTGTGACTCAGGGGGCCCATCGTGGCCATGTCAGACCACTGTGCCAGCACTTCCGTGATGCCTCGTTCGAATCCGTCACCCTACCAGAGGTCGCAACCGGGTACCCGATACCCGTACCCTACCCGATACCCGGCTACCCGTACCCGGCCGGGTACGGGTAGCCGTTTGCGACCCTGGTGCGGCCGGGTACGGGTACGGGTAGGCCGTGAGTCACTGGTGAGTAACCGTTTGTCACTCATTTCCCAACGTTTTGTCTCTT